CTTCATTTATGTCTTTATCAAAAACAGAAAGGACAGGTAGGGTCACTGAATATAAAAAACAATGCCGAGCAATTTATTTATTCACATTTTTTCCGGTTTCAAATCATGAAAGGACCCTTATTATAGTCTATGCCCTTATTAAAAACCCTTCCATAAAATTATTAGCTCTTCCTCCGGACGATTTTTCCAAGCTCTGGATACTTTCCACAGAGAACAAAGAAAGCAAGGTGGGTTTGGGCGTGGCATCTTCAGTTCCTCCGTTTTCATCGGCCTTCCTCGTGGCTACTCTCCACCACAGAGGCTATTGTGGATGGAACCATTTTTCTTTTTCTTCCGCAGTTTCTTTTATCCTTTTCCCTCCCCATCTCCTTCCCATCATGGTCATTAACCGTATGACCGCTGAAGTAACTTTGGCTATCTTCATATCTTCACCTTGCTTGCCATAAAACAATGGAATCGGACAGAATGATAATTTGGGCAGAGAATATGACCCGAGTTTAGAGGTAAGCCCGTTGTTACAAAAGTATTTGAGCCTAATTTGTATTGTCGTTTAAAAGCAGCCATTTACAAACAGCCTATTACCCCCATTGATGCTTACGTATACCCCAGAGGTTTGGTCAAAGCCAGCTACAAATGCGGGTAGGGGAGGTGCACACTGGGATTTTCTCAGAACCAAAATCTAGCTAATAACAGGCTGTTCTGGCGATTTACAACATGTAACGCGAAGTTTGACTTGACAGAAAAGGGGCTTCGCAAAAACCTTCAACTATTGGCCTCCTCATTCCCCAACAAGACGCTAACCAGAAAAAATAAAGTGAGAAAACAGTCCTTGAAAATGCTGTCATTTTTTCATTATAAATTGTCTAACTTTACAAAAAGCAAAATTGAAACACAATATTTCAACACCGAAAAAGAAAGTTCAAAATCATTCTTTCTTGAGAAATAATTTAATACAATTATATCATATCTACTTTGATTGGTATCTCGAAAGACTATAAACTCTTGGAAAAAGCAGCCTGTTGGATACCTACGCTTTTAATCTGGCCGAGCACGTCTCACTTGCTTTAGAATCTGCTAATACTTTTTGAAGGGTCATAAAAGATAAAATTTACCACGCCCCAGTGGTGTAGTGATATCAAAATAACACGGGGGGCTCTTGCACAAATTGTCGCGAAAAACAATAGCAAAGGAGAAATCTGCCAATTTTCGGCATCAAAAAGGAAGGCTCAGCCCCCGAGCCCCCTAGCTCTACATCCCTGCTACGCCCCTAGATAACCGACATTTGGAGCTTAAAAATCTATCAAGATCATTTAACATGACATTGAAAGTTGGGCCTTTCGATTCCCCCAAGCAAATTTGGGCTGTTCGATTCTCCTGCCTGTAATTTGGAAGCGTCTATAAATACTTAAAAAACAAGTGTAACAAAACTGATAACTGAGGAATTTAAATCGAATATATATCAGTTTTATTAACAGTGCGTAGCAAAATGATATTTTTGGAGTCAACACGTTGTGTTTGCTTGTCTCTTTAACCAATAATCGTAGGACTGATCCATTTTTGCACATGATAATTTAAAAGATGTTGTTTTAAAGATTTGAGCCATGCGGAAATCTGTAACTGGCTGAAGGAGACAAGTATCCAGCATTAACATATTTCCAGGCAAGCCTACAAAAAATGTGTTGACAAAGAAGTCTTTGAAAATCCGGAATTTTTTATGAGAACTGAGCAAACGAGACACTCTCTCAGACGTATTGAAATATACTGAGTAAAAACTTAAATTGATATTTTATAATGGGCATATGTAGGAGAATCTACCGTTACGGTGTATTTGCTTCGCTTAAGTAGCATTTTACGCATCTCGGGCAATGCCACAGGACACTTTCAAGTTCTTTAGTACTCAAATTATGCGGAGCTAGGTTGGAGCAACCGAGATGTGACCAGCCTCCGCAGCCATCAGTCACAATTCCATCGTCAGATACATTGCCACAGCTTATCCAAATCTCCTCCGCATCGCCATCTCGATAGGGTTTATCACAGATAGCGCAAAAGAAGCCATCATTACTTTGGTTGTCGTTGGTGCAGTCTCCTTCCACAGAGTCCATCCTGTTATCTTTTGTCGATATTTCGCGTCTTTTTCTATATGTTTTGTGTTTGTCTTTCAATTGCAAATTTTCTATAAAAAAAGGAGCAGTTGGGCGTGTATCATAAAGACTAGCCAATGAGCATTGACTTGAGTTGTCACATGACGAACTATGAACAAAGAGAGCCTTGCCTGAATGGACTTTTCATTGCTGCTAGGAGAAATATGGACCATGCGAACAAAATACAATTCGCTTCACCCAGTATTCAGCGGGAAGCAATTATTTCTATCCAAATAATTAAAACCGTCAGATTAGGGTTTTCAGGAGTTCTTGAGAAGCTTTCCCGTGAAAGAAGCTACACAAATAGGTTTTAAATCTTTGCTTCAAAACGACAAAACGACATCTCTACTTTGTAGTACATCGAGCGAAATGCATCGGCAAAAAGTCAGAATTGGAAAATTTACCATCATTGGAGACACTGTAACAGGATCAAACTTACAGCCTAAAAGTTTTATGAATCCAATGAAATAGAAGCAATTTATGGCTAAGAACTGATTTCATTGAAATCTGAAATAACATTATCGATGTCTAAGCTTCCGATCGCCTGGCAAAATTTTTATAGAAATACATGAACTGGGCTTATATTCATCACTGTAAATTTGTATTGGGGGATGTCCTCCATGAAAGCTACACTGCTCGTCTTCGCAGTCTCTCATTATGAAACCTTCCAAAAAATACTCAAATACGAGACCTCTCCTTCAGAGAAATTGTCTCAATACTAGTTGTACCACTTCTATACCATACTAAACAAGTTGTAACATAAAGCCTTCATAAATTTCTCATTCCACCACTATTTGATAACATATGCCCTTAAACTGAACAGGGAGAAAATGGAGGAAACGTCGTGGCGAGGGAAAGCAGCAAGAATAATTTTCCGAAAAAATTCAGAACAAAATTGAGAATGTAAAAGTATCGGTAATACAAAATTGTTTTAGAATTTTTTCATACAAATTTTATACAAATCTTAAAATTTCAGTCATGCACCCCCATCTCCGTGGCAACAATGCCATTGCATGTTGTGCATATACAGGCATGCTATGAGGTATGTGTTTTAGCGTCTGTCTCAGCAGCTTTGTCCTTTATTGTAGCTTCAGAAACAGATACAAAAGATACACAAGAACCTTTCAATATGGTACATAATTCACATGATAACAGAAGCATAAAATACCTTTTTTGACAAAACTTGGCGAGTCCATCTTGAAATGTTTACGAACTTCTGCTACCTCTTTATGACGTAACAGAAACCCGTACCACCAGCTCTCTTTGGGCAGATTGTCTTTCAAGCGAGCGATCTGTTTTCCACTGTTATCCAGTATTGCTTTAACTGTCTCTAAAACTTCCTTGATTCTAACATGACGGCCAGATCTTTCCATTGTAATTAACCACCCGGCCAAGGAGTTCTCCTCCTCCTCGGACAAAAGTCGTTTAGGTCCTGGTGTTAGGGACGTAGAGCATTTCCCTTTGATGATATCCCCAAGTGTTGATTTCGGTATCCCATAAAACTTAGCTGAACCCCTTAACGACATTTTCCCATCCTTTACAGCATTCATTGCAAGCAATAAATTATCGCGTTTCCAGCGCATGCGCTCCTTTCTACACTTGGTACTTTTAGTGTCCTTTGACCTTTCCCCTTCAAACTTTGCTACTCTGCTACTTTCATCTTTGGAATTATCAAGATTGACTTCTTCAAGATTAATTTCCTCAGCAATTTGACTGTTTGTTTTAATGAGCTTAGAGGACGTTTCATTACGATTTGAGGACAGAGCCTTTCGAAGAAAAGAAAAGGAAATACCAAACTGTTTTGCGACAGACTTTGGAGACTTTTTCCCATTTTCTAGGTCTTTCAAGGCTTGCAAATCCTCATCTCCCTTTGCAATGGGCCTAAGTTGTTCAAGCAGCTTTCCGAGATCTAAAAGAGTAACAAAGGATATAACTTTCGAATTAATTAGACTAGTGAAATGAGAATATAATTAAATTAGACTTATGAAGCCCATGAAATAAATTCCGTAGAACAATCTTGATCAATACGAGTGTGTACCATAAATACCCACTGATCTGATATGCAAAAATACTCCAGCAATAATGAGTAATTTTCTATACTTTCTAACAAAAATTTCATTTGAGCTGATAAAAAAGGGTTGTTTTGCAGTTGCAAACAAAAAATTCTATTTGAAGAAGTTCAATTTGAGTTTACAGAAAGAAAGTAATTTACAAATACAAACAAACATTTTGTAGAAGCAAACAGAAACATGTTTTACTCTCGTAAACAGGGATCCCTTTGCAAACAGGAACATGTTTTACTCTCGTAAACAGGGATCCCTTTGCAAACAGAAACATGCCTTATTTTTTGCAAACAGGGAACTCATTGCAAACAGAAACATGTTTTGTTGTTGCAAATGGAGAACCCTCCGAAAAACAGAAACATGTTTTATTGTCTAAAAAAGAAAAACCTCTTTGCAAACAAAAACAAGTTTTGTTGTCCTAAACAGATATTCCTTTTCTTATGGCAAACAAAGATCATTTCGCAAACAGAAGCATATTTCAATTGTTGCACACAGAGATTTCTTTTTCATCGCAAGAAGAAACACACTTCATTCTCGCGAACAGACAGTTGCTTTGGGGTCAAAAACAGACTAAAGAAAGTAGTTTACCGGCATTGTCTTTCCTTCTGCATATCCTGTCCGCCAAGCTGGACTTTGGAATTCTATGATTGACAGCTGCCTGCCTGATTGACATACCATGTTCGGTGACATCTTTGATTGCGTTTTCCATGTCTGTTTGAGACCAACTAAAAATAAGAGCAAGAGAATTATCTATGTAGAACATCTAAATTATAAAATGAAAGGAAATTAATAGCCATAAGATTTACTTATTAAATGATTGTGTAAAAATAAGAAATAAATGTCTTTGAGGCGCTTTTAGTTTTAATTGTCATCATTCGTATTAATTTTAATTGTCAAAATTTCAGTTTGATTGGAATTAGGTTACATAAATAGCCGTGACAAGATTTCAAGAATCAACCAAACAAAGTGGAATCTGCGAATAACTAACTAATTAAAATCAGGCTATCAACTGAAGATTGTTTCTCACTTTATGCCCCTCTCATGAAAACATTGGGTTATTTAGTCGAAAAAGAACCCCTTTCCCCTACGCTATAAAAGTAGCATTTTGACATCAAGAACACCCTATTTCGCGAAGAGCATTTCTCTGCAAGCATATTAAAGAGCTAGACAATTTATGTACCCCAGTGCTTCTCCTAGCTCGTTGGCCCCCAAAAGTATTGTTGATGAATTTGATGACTGTGATCATGACAAACCTTTTCAATTTTGCCTTGAAGCTTGTCTTTTCTCTTATATCATCGGACATTGTGACGCGATAATCAAATCGATTCAATCTCTTCGCCGGTGCTTCGCCAAGTTCTGACATAGTCAAGTTTGATCGCTTAAGCCCGTTGACGTAACTAGAGCCAGGTCTCTGATTCTTTTTAGTTGATCTCCGTCGTTTGTTTGTTTTGGCGTTGGATTGCTTGTCTGTTGGTCAAGAGAATTATAAGCTTCACCAAAACAATAGCAACAGCAACCACAATAATATAGACAACAACAAAAACATCAAAAAATACATAAATTAACAAACAAACAAACAATTAGATAAACAAATAAATAAGTACTTGGATAGATAAATTAGAAATTATTACAAAAGGAATCAGTATGATTTCACAACCAAACAGAGAGATCTACTACTTTTCCCGAAGAATGTCTCTATAAGATGTCATCAGGAAATTTCTAGGAGATTTTATCTTCAATCTAATACCGTAGTTAAAGATGGATTGCTTTCGTTTATTCATCTCAATACCTGACCATTTTACAACGTTTGTATCGTTTCTGGGTTCCTTCAAAATCGTTTACTCTTAACCTAATTCGAGCGTTACCAAATGGAAAAATCTCGCAATATAAACTAACTACGATTCGTCATGACTGCTTTCGTTATAAACCACGACATTATACACTAGTGTAAACCCAAAATTTCGCATCTTAGCCAATAGTAGCTGCTTTGGTGCTTAATTGTGAGCACTTATAAATCGTGAGTATTTACATAACACAACTACCTTCTCCGGCCTCTGAAGCATTCAACTAAAATTATAGTGGGATTCATACCTGTTTCATATGTGACTCCATGAACTGTTAAAATATCGTTTTCTTTCCCATCAAATGTAACGAAAGTATGGTTATCAATTGCAACTACCGAAGGATCTTGGGTGTGTTTATTCGATTCATGTTCTCTTGCCTGATCTGTCACGATTTCCTCTTGAATTGAAACAACAGGACTGGTCTGTGACAATGAGCTTCCTGGGTCTTCTTCATTTCTAGGACAAATACGACCGGCGATTTTTTCAACCGAATTATCACGACAGACTTGTATATCTGGCTTAGAGGCACCTCTAGGATAAACAATATTATTCTTTCGAGCACGTTTACTGTTATCAATCTGGTTGTGGCTTTTTACTATTGTTCCGGATAATTTCTTCTTTCCGGACAGCCGGTCACCAAGACTTGACTTAGGTATTCCATGCAAGGCTGCAGCTTTTCGCAAAGACATACCCTTGTCTCTTATATCTAGAATCGCTTTTTCCAAGTCATCTTGAGTCCAATTAGTCGACCGAACTTTTCTTCTTCCGTGACGCCGGCAGCTACTGCTATGGTCAGAAGGTTTTTCTTGAACCATAAAAGAGGCTGGATAAGAATTTCTCCTTGACTGACTATTTGTTGAATTTAGTTCATCAGTTGTACTTTCTTGGTTCCAAATTGCAGAAGCAGCAAAAATTTCCTCAGAAACTCCGATTTTTAATTTCTTGTCAACCTGTGGTAAGCCTTCCATGTCAACACCCCCTTTTTCCCATTCAGCTGCCTCTGACGTCACAACTTCAACCTCGTTGTTCCAGGTGCTTACAACAACAACTTCTGGAGGTACCTGACCATCAAAAAGAGGCAGTGCCTTACTTTCAATATCAGAGGCAGTATTTCCCCACAACATCTCACTTGCAATTGTCATGTTTTCTCCCCCCTTCTTTCTCTTCAATTTCCTGACATCAACTGGGGGCTGTTTTTGTGGCCGTAATTGTGTTAACTGAAGCCTGGGATAAACAACTGGTATCATCTTCTTGGCACTGTAGTTGATACCAAGGCATCTTTTTGGCCTTTTTGCTGCAAAAAATAACCAGAATTTAATGATTTTATCAGACAAAGCACAAAAGGGGTACTAATTGTTGAGCCTTACTCGCAGAACTAAGGTTTCATAGGGACAGAGCTTTCAAAACATGGAGGTCACCAGGGACAGCAAAGCATATTATTATAGATTTTTTTTTTTCGGGAACTAGGGGTGGCTGGGAGTGTTATAGCATGCAAAAGGCTAAAAGCAAGATTAGTTGAGTAATTTTTTAAGAACAGTTTTGAAAACTATTGGGGACTAAAACCCTCAGCCACAATTCTTCCTTCTGGTAGTCAGACAGTCAAAAATGCAAGGAAGACTGATCAAAACAAAAGAAATATAAAAACAACACTTGAGCTTTACCCCCTTTCTCTGTTTTCTAAGAAAGAATTCTAAAGTTTGAAGAAAATATCCAGAGGAAAAAAGAACATTTCTCTCAAATGCAACAAATGAAAATGCAACAATAGCAAACTATGATAAATAGCTCAATTTTTACTTTGTATGCAGACTGACTTTGCTAAAACTGGTTAACAGCTAGAAAAATGGCTTAAGGTCTCTTAAAGAAAAAAGGATATTTTAGTTGTCAATATTAAGTTTTCTTCAATGAAATATAAAAAATTACAGCAGTGCAGAAACTAAGCAAAACATGATTTACAAAAAAGAGAGCTTAATACTTTGATGAGAAAATGAAAGATCCTTCTCCCTTGCCATGTCATCAAGAGAGAAAATCGGTGCAATTAAGCCAGTTAAATTCTACAGCTTGAAGCAAATCTAGAAGGAAATCTTTAGCTTTGAGGGGCCTTATACCCCTTTACTTTATCATCTGCATTTTTTAGTTTGACAGCACATGATGCTGCAGTACCTGTTTTATTTGAGCTTGATTCTTGTTCCAAACCACCTTCGCTTCCAATAGCAGTAGTTTTTGTTCTACTTTCACTTCCTTGTGAGTCAGCATGCACTGTTTCAGCTTCTCTATCGTCTGATTTCAGCTCTGTATCACCAGGTTGGCATTGACCACAAGTGGCCACAAAATGTTCCCTTTGGTTCTGCCTTTGGAATTTTATGATGTCATTCAAAGATGACAAGGTCTGCTCCTTGGCTGACATCTGAAAAAGAAGGCAAACTAGCTGTTGCAATCAAATCTGGATGATAATCTGTGACTTGAACTTTTTTCAACAGAAATTCTGACTAAGAGATTTAGAAAATTTAAAACACGCACTATGGATGATCTAGCTATATTTTATCAAACTTATTATTTCTAACATCTGCATGCCTAACTGCAAAGTTTGGGCATGTATTGGAAACACAATAATAATAACTCAAAAATTTGTACCTCTAATCCCATGTGCACATTTCGAAATCGAGAAAAATTTTACTCAATTTGATATTATCCTATGCATGCATAGGTGACAGAAAATCATTCTCTAGGCATGAGAAAACTTGCATTCTGTATACAAATCATCCACTAAGGCTTGCATAATTCTAGGTGGCCTCAGGGCCAGTTGAAAACTCCTGCAGTTCTTGGAACCATGCCAGAATTCTTGAAAAATGCCAGACAGTAATTGACCCACTGTTTCCTGTAGCTTTGTTATGTTTTTGACTAGAACTTACTTTTGTGGTGATTTAATTTACCAAAAGTTGCCAATCCCTAATTTTCTGCTATACTGAGAATCTGAGAAATATTTGTTATTAAAGAATCAAACGGAAGTCGATATGAATCATTTCAGCCATAGTGGGCCGGAGCTGTACGGCTCATGCAAATTGTACGGCTCATGTCAAATATGTACGGCTCATGTCGAATTTTCAAAATCGATAAGCAAACAGAAAACCGTAGCCAATGCACAATATTAATGTATCAAAATGTTCCCCTATCTTTCAAGAATAATTTCCAGTGTTTTTCGAACAGTTTAATCGCACAACTACCTAAGAATTTTCAAGAATACTACCACGACATCTTGCGATTCGCAAACAAATAATGGCTCCCACGGCTAAGTGTCGACCTAAGGTGGCTTCGAATATGGGGATTCCCTCTGTTCTAGCAACGAGCAAGTAACCTCAAAAACAGCAAGATTTCAACCAAAATAAAACCGTTTTTTACAAAATTATTATTGGATCCCCGTGCCATTCAACCTTTTTAACAAGTTTATTTAAAAATATTAGAGTTCTGAGGGTTGCATTAATCACCCACCATGTTCGGGGTTTCTGGCGGAGGGCGGAGCTGGCTCCGTGTACGGCTCATGCAAGAACCGAAAATTCACGCTAACGGGTGAAGTTAAACCGTTTTTTAGAAAATAAATGATGGATCCCCGTGCAATTACACCTTTTTAACAAGTTTATTTAAAGATTTTAGGGTTTTGAGGGTTGGGTTAATCACCCACCATGTTCGGGGTCGACACTTAGTTTCTGGCGGAGGGCGGAGCTGGCTCCGTGTACGGCTCATGCAAGAACCGAAAATTCACGTTAACGGGTAAAGTTAAACAGTTTTTTACAAAATAAATGATGGATCCCCGTGCCATTCAACCTTTTTAACAAGTTTATTTAAAAATATTAGAGTTCTGAGGGTTGCATTAATCACCCACCATGTTCGGGGTCGACACTTAGTTTCTGGCGGAGCTGGCTCCGTGTACGGCTCATGCAAGAACCGAAAATTCACGCTAACGGGTGAAGTTAAACAGTTTTTTACAAAATAAATGCTGGATCCCCGTGCAATTCAACCTTTTTAACAAGTTTATTTAAAGATTTTAGAGTTCTGAGGGTTGCATTAATCACCCACCATGTTCGGGGAGAATAATCAACTGCGAAAAACTTTTGAAAAGACAGGAAAGTGAAACAAGTAAATGCATGCATGATCAATATTCTTTTTTAAGAAGAGAAATACATGAGCTAGATGATAAAAAGTGTTTGTAGAATAAGTCTTTTCAATTCTAATAAAGTTATATATAACTACGATCGTCGATAAATTCGTCGATAACAATTCGATAACTACATTTACAATCGTCGATAACTTCGCGTTGCTACCTCCAAAGATATACATGGAAGAATTTCGTTTTCGCTCTTCCAGTTCTACTTACAACTATTTGAGAAACAGTTCATTTAGTGACATTCTCTTTGCGACTTTTAATAACACGTATGTACAAAAAGCAGCAATATTATATCAAACTTCATGTCAATTTATTTTCTGCTTCAAAGACTTTTAGCAGATATTGTTCTTGGGTTAATATCCCTTACCAAAATACAATGATTTTACATAAAGCTAACCATCTGAATACAAGAAGCATTTGATTAATCTTGCTGTACCAGTTTGACGAAAGATACTGCATTTCCCACCAGTTAACAATCACTTTCGTTTGACGATGAGCTATCTTTTGGACATATAGATTTGACTTTGTCAAGAAGTTCCTTAAAACTTGGTTTTTTGACAGTTTTTTTCTTACATGGCCGTTTTTTTCTAGTTGTTGCCTTAACACCCCGCTTTGCCTTTTTGTGCGATCTCTCTAGCAATGTCATGTTGTCATATTCATCGCTGTCACTCAAAACACGTTTAATTGGACGTTTCAATTTCTTGCATTTTCTACATAGCCATGGGGATGAGTGAATATCTTCTTCGCAATCACAGTGATACCAAGATTTGCAAGAGGAACAACAAATCATTTTAGTTTTCATGTCAGGAAAGTTGCAGTGGCAATAAAAAGAAGGTTTAATGATGAATTTAGTTCCTGACGACTCTCTGGGAGAGTTAACAAATTGTATGCCTTCAAATGTTTTGCTTCTTAAAGCTTTAATGAGATGTTTTCTCAAGTTCTTTAAATTGAAATATGTTACTTGAGGGTCCATTTTGCGACATAAACATAGTGCAAAGAATATGGCAGCTATTCCGCTATCTGAATCTCTAAGACTGGAAACCGTATCAGCAACATGAATCTCAAATTTGTCGTTTTTTGGATGCCTAAGCCTTGCCGCATAAGCCTCGATCGAAATATCATATTTGCATTCTCTTTTATTATTCGAAAGATGATTCCTTGAAAGGCTGTCATACAAGTGGATTTGTTTATCTGAAGATACCATATTTGATAAAGTTCCCCAATCAGTATATTTTTTGGAATCATTTAGTGGTATAATTTGTATAAACCTATTGCCAGAGCCCCAAACAGTCAATAAGTCAGATATTTGATGGAGTCCTTCCACATTTTGGAATTCGCGCCGCATTACACCCATGGCAGCATTGATAATCGAAGAGGATACTGGCAAACCCAAATCAATATCATGCAGATGATTTTCGTTGAGATCAAAGGGTGCATGATCGGACGATGTAACCTTATTTTCACTTGAAAATGACGTAACATGTACGAAATCATGTCCGCAACCACTACCTGTATTTTCGTCAAACCTCTTAGCTGTTCCGGCTTCGTCGTTGGTAACAAAAACAATACTATCATCTATGTTATCAGCAAGAATGCTGTTTTCTGTTATTTGAAAAAATTCTTCATTTGTTGAAATTGCAGTGTAACTTTGGTTAGGAGAAGGTAATTTCGAGGAAGCCCTACTGCTGTCCTTACCTCTATTGACACCACTGGGCGAGGAAGTCCAATTCTTTGCACTGCCCTCATGCAAGAATCCATTGACAAATTCTTCGTAATCAGGGACTAAAGCAGGCTCTTCAACAGTCAAAAAATTAGATTGTGCCTCGTTGGGTCCCTTGTTGGAATCATTGGATCGCATTGATTCGAAGAATTTGTCATTGGAATCTTGTCTGTCACTGCATTTATCTCTTGTCAAATCAGAATAATCCCTCCCTTTTCCACTTGTATGGCAAAATATTGGGCGTCCAAAGAGGTCATACCTAACGTTGAGTTTGGTCCTTTTTTCCATTTCTGAAACGACAACTAGATTTCTAGATTCATTCACTAAATCAATAATCGAGCGAAACATGAAAATGTGGTTGGATGGTGACATTTTATTTAAAAAATACCTGTTTAAATTAAACGAGCCATGGATTTGCTCTGCAACCTGACTATTGATTTGACCCGAAAGTTCCTTAACACAAGCTATACGGCGGAGAGCTTCGACTTCATTAGAGGTGTTTTTTTCGTGGAGTCGGTCGAAAAGTGCTAAATGGTGTGCACTACCTGTTACTGGGTGAGAATTAGGTTCTAAATTTCTGTTTGTGTTACAATCTGAATTTAGCCAAGGAAAGGATACCTGTAATGTTCCGTCATTTGCCATTTGCACATTCTCATTTGTTGACTCAGCGGCTCGGCCATCGTTTGGTGAGAAAAATCCAATGAACTTTCTGTTAGCAAATGCTGATACGATGTGGGCCATATCATTTATAAATCTGTTTGGCCTATGCCGGAGTCCACGTAAAATATCTAAATAATCTCGGGGGCTCTCGGAACGAAGCAGAAATTTAATGGCATAGATAATTCCATGCTGACATGCGACTGTCAACCATCCACCAGAAAACCCAAACATTTTCCTAAAAATTTTATTGAATTTTATATTATTCTTTCCCAAACCTGTTTTAATACGATTAATTATATCTAATTTTGATCCTTTTGCGGCCACTCCTAGTTTTTTAGCAAGTAACCTGACCTCTTTGGACGTGCTTTCAAATAAAGTTTCTAACAGACGTTCTTCCGACATTTCCCTACACTCTATTTCAATGTCGTCATTTTCGGCATGAACTTTCTGATGCTCCGAATTATAAATAACGTCGCCAATTCTACTTTTCTCACCAATATATGGAGCCCAATTGGATAATTTAGGAGATACCGTCATTTCATTTACCCTGCGTCCTCGACATCCCCTGCTCACCATTTCCATTGTAACATCATCCCAAAACTTTTTGCAGTCTACTTCATCTGCATCTGAATAATTTTGTTCCTCAGTTTTTTCATCGGGTTCCCTGTACTTAAAAGCGACTTTGCGATTAACGTCGGCTATAAGAATATGTGGGTAATAGCCACATTCGACACAGTTGAATTCGTACGTGCGATTGCTAAGGCTTTCAAAATGTAAATACGAATTTAGAATTAAATTACTATCGAGTTTTGTCTTCAGCAATCCCTCAGCAATTGCACATACTTTTCCAACCGCCATATGATTTTTCAAGCATTCACGCAGGAGATTGCAGAAGTCTAGCCCTATCAAAAAAATATCGTCAAAATTGTGGACCCCATCCTTATATTCTTCATATCTATAGTAACTGTCACATTGTTCACATTTGGCAAAAAAGGTTTCGATCCAATCTAGAAATCCTGTTAGAGTCAATACTCTTGCATTCCGGGTTATCCTAACTGGGCGGCTCAGTTTTGTCTTACAAATAAGGCATTCAGTCTCAATTGGTTTAAAATATCTTGGTATATCTTTTTTTGATACCTTAACAAATTCATCTGGGAGCGGGAAAGGAATAGTTTTTTTTGAAAGGGAATACTTTATCATATTTTGTACAGCATTTGGTGACTTTGGTGGATACAACAAATCTTGAGGTTGTTTACATGTTTCGTCGTTGATTTCTTGCGTATTTGTTAAAAAGGTGTAATTGCACGGGGATCCATCATTTATTTTGTAAAAAACTGTTTAACTTTACCCGTTAACGTGAATTTTCGGTTCTTGCATGAGCCGTACACGGAGCCAGCTCCGCCAGAAACCAAGTGTCGACCCCGAACATGGTGGGTGATTAATGCAACCCTCAAAACCCTAAAATCTTTAAATAAACTTGTTAAAAGGGTGTAATT